CACACCACACAGAATGTGGACCATCTCAGAAGGTGAGAGGCCTGGACATTTTGGGTGGTTATAGTTTTTATGGGCTGAATACTTTCGTAGGCGAAGGAGTGGGAGAATTATTCTAACTATTTCAGTGAAGGGTTGGCAGTTTTCAAGAAGTTGGATACCCCCAATTTTGGGTCTTTTATGGTTAGCCTCTGACAACTGTCATGGTGCTGGGCTTCCCTGGTGGCTCAGAGGGCAAAGCATTTGCCAGTAATGCAGGAGATCCAGGTTTGATCCCTGGGTCGGGAAGATCCCCTGGAGAAGGAAATGGCAACTCTGGTAGGCTAGAGTCCATGGGCTCACAAAGAGTTGGACACGACTGAGTAACTTCACTTTCACTTTTCACTTCATGGTGCTGGTAGAGGTGTCATTTAGATGCTAATATAATAGGGGCTTCTTTGTTGGCTCAAATGGTGAAGAATCTGCCTGCAATGCAAGAGACCCAAGTTCGAGCCCTAGGTCAGAAATATCCCCTGGAGAAGGAAATGGCCACCCACTCCAGTATCTTTGCCAGGAAAATTCCATGAACAGAGGAGCCTGGCCATGAGCACATAATGAGAGCATAGTGAGCATAAGGAGTGCATATTATAATGAGCACGTAACGCGGCTCACGGTCCACCGGAAGTTGAATCTTCCGCCATCTTGGACCTCCTTGGTTCTAACCCAGTTTTTGTCGTGTCCTCACGGCAGTGTCTTTCTTCCAAAGGTTGTGCCCAGCCTCCTTCTCTCCTGTTTCAGGTGCGGAAATAAAAGCACAGCATGCAAAATCTGCGAGTTACGTTTTATTGAGACCTTACTGAGGATATAGTCTGGGAAACAGCCTCTCAGATAACTCCGAGGAGCTGCCCTGAAAGAGGTACGGAGTGGAACAGGAAAGTGAAAGTATTGGTTACTCAGTCATGTCTGACTCTGTGACCTCATAGACTGTAGCCTGCCAGGCTCCTCTGTCCATGGAATTCTCCAGACAGTACTGGAGTAGGTAGTCACTCCCTTCTCCAGAGGCTCTTTCTGACCCGGGGATCAAACTTGAGTTTCCTGCCCTGAAGGCAGATTACTGTCTGCTGCTGCTGCGGGACCTATATATATAATTTTCTGGGAAAAAAAATGGAACCAAACGTCAAAAGATCACTGTGAATCACAAAGAACAGACAAACATCTCAAATTAAAGAGTTTAGTGCTTTTCTCTGTATGGAAAGATGCAAGAATCTAGGATCATGGAAATTTTTCCTTAGATGTGTATCTTAACCATCTAGGGGCAGACATTCAAAGCACAAAATATTTCCTTTTTTTTTCTCTTTCCATTCTGAATTCCCCTATCAGTGGGTGACTGCAATGCCTTAAGACTTGATCCTTGTAGAACTGGAATGGCCAGCAACATTTCTTTTTTCTTTCTTTACAGATACAGTAGGAAAATTCTGGGAATATCCTTAATATCAAGACTAGGAGTTGGTCAAATACTGGTGTAACTCAGTCAAGATCTAGAACTATTATGATTGCAAGTCAACAGTGGAGGAGATGTCATCAGAAGTCAGTTTGTCAGATAGCACAGTCTGCACTTTATCCCAAGGTGCACTGCCTTCCAAAGGAAAAAATGAAAAGCATTTCTCATTCACCTCATGTGGGTAGTTCTCTTGGCAAATAGGGCAACACATTTTGAGCAGTCGGTGCTGCAGAGTAGTTTATATCATATGGCGAATGGATACTCTTTCATAATAATGAAAGTCAACAGTTACTGTGTGCTAAATGTCAGACATATGAAACGCTTAAAATCATTCTGCCATTCGTTCTATTCTAGAGGGTGGGACCTTGGTTATTTGATGAGCAATGAACCCACCTGCCAACGCAGGAGACTTAAGAGATGTGGGTTTGATCCCTGGGTTGGGAAGACCCCCTGGAGGAGGGCATGGCAACCCACTCCAGTATTCTTGCCTGGAGAATCCCATGGACAGAGGAGCCTGGTGGGCTGCAGTCTGTGGGGTTGCAAGGAGTCTGAAGTGACTGAAACGACTTAGCACGCACACATACACGGGGAGGGTCCAGGTTGGCTCCACCGCTAGGTCATCTCACTTTGCTTTCTAAACAAATTTTGTGGGGAGTGCGCCATCACAGGTGCATTCAGTTTTCAGTCTATAAATACACTGCTTGTAATTTTTTAAGACCTTCCTGTTATAGTTATTACAGTTAGGTGGCCACTTTGAGAAATATAACTAAAATAGTGAATCTTTTTTTTTTTTTAAATAGCCCAAGGACAAATTATTCAACTGAATCAACCAGCTGTTTAACTGCCATACATATATAAAACTTAACTATCACAACATTGTCAATCAGCTATACCCCAATACAAAATAAAAAGCTCAAGGGAAAAAAATAGAATATTAATACTAAAAAACTTAAACATCATCAATCTAAAGAATTCAGCTATTCCATTGAAACTTAACTGTCTTGGGTCAAATACATTTCTGGAAAATATTATTTAAGAGTTCTCCTGAGTGTGTTGGCAATTTTGATAAGCTGCTTTCTCCTTCTTGCGTAGATTTTGTACATATAATGTTGACTTAAAATCCCCAAAGCCTAATTGTGTGTTCTTTCACAACACTGAGCATCTCTTGTCTTTGTGGTAAAAGGGCAGCATTTCTAAAAGGGAAAGCCAGTTTGGTTTGGAGTTGTATCCCTCACAAAAGGCTAGTTTTTATTTGGAGCTGGCCATTTCAGAAGTTTACCTTTAAAGGTTAAACCATGTAGTGGTATTTGCAACTAAATTTCCAAGGAAGGAAAGGAGGAAGTGGTGAACTCTGAAGATAGAACTTAACTTTGGTGGTGAAATACCCAGGGATGAGGACTTAGGGGTTGCCCACTCCTGGGGGTCCACTTCCCCACTCCAGGACCACAGCCGGGCAAGGCCCCTGCCCCACCCCCGGGGACCCCCGTCTCAGCCCTCTGGATACTCGGATATCACGCAGCTGGCCTGGGCTGAGAGGAGGGGAGGGTTAGCAAACTCACCTCTCTGCCTGGGCAGAGGGGGAGGGTCACTTCAATTTGTAAAAATCCCCTGATTTCATTTAGCCTCTGGAAACACCAAAAACAGTGGTCAGTCTTGAAAGGTGGAAATTTCCAGTGGGGATTTATGTAAATATGGCTACTTAGAAAAGAAAAAGCAAACTATGACCCGGGGTATTTTTGGCTTCAGAGAGAAAGCCCCGGACTACAGGAGGCCGGTGCACCTGGGTTCACTTTTCGGCTCAAGGCTCGCTCTGGCGTCCACCTCTCCCGCAGCCCCCGTCCTCCCGACCTCGGGGATGCCAGGTTCCCGGTCAGCCCGGCGGACCTGGAGGCCGAGGGGATCAGCACCGGCGCGTCGCACTGGAAGGCCAGGGGCCCGAGATGCAGAGGCCTAGGCAGCTGGAACCTCACTCAGGCCCCGCCAACCAGCCCGGTGGTGTCTTTGACCGCGTTCCCCACTGTGGCCCTCAGCCTGCCCTCCCGGGCCTGGAATCTTCTAGTTTGTCCCCAGCGTCCGCGGTCGCCTGGTTTCGGTCACCTTTGCGCCCCGAGGGCTTCTCAGGCACTGGCAGCTGGTAGGCACGCCGTCAAGAGCGGTGGAAATTAAAGAAGGAAAGGAGGGTGAGGAGACAGAAAGAGGCGCTGTTTCACCCGTGGTCTCCGCATCCGCCCCTGGGTCTGAAGTGCTTTCTGTCCGAGAGGCGACGCCCCCCGACGACCCCAGCCCTCACGCCACATCTCCCCCATCCTTTTTCCATGAGGATTTGCCCCCGCGGTCCCACGGTGCGTCCTCCTCTAGGAGGTCAGAGGCTCCCCGCGGCGGGTCCTCACCCCCTGCGCTGGGACCGACGGGGCGGGGTGGGGGTGGGTAGGCCAGGCTCCAGCCTGGGGGGGCTGGGGTGGGGTGGGGTTCGGGGATGGGACCCGGGCAGCCGCTGCGGGCCGGCTCTCTGTTTGGCAAGCAGCCGCGAAGTCTGAGCCGGGGTGGTGGCTTCCGCCCGTGAATCCGTCTCGACTCCGCAGATAAAGGGACCCTGGCCAGGGTGAGGGAAGGGGGAACGCTTCGGGCCTGGAGGCGCTCCTTCCCACCCAAATGTCACCCCCCTCCCCTCCATCGACTCCAGGACATCGGCTCCGGGGCGCTCTTTGAGAAGCCATCTGAAAGTGACTGCTGGCCCTAGTCCTCTGCCGGGTCCCCAGCCCTGTCTCGGCCTGGGACGTCCCCGGGGCAGCCCGGAGCTCCCGGTTCAGAGGGGCAGGGTCCCCAGCTGGACACCATCTCCCACGCTTCCACCCGTCCTCGGTGCCCAGGGAGGTCTTAACTCGGGAGCAAAGTTGGCCCCGGAGCCCAGGCTCCCGGAAAAAAATGCACAAACAGGCTGGGTGTCTCAGACGCTGAGAAACTACCCCCCAGCCCGCAGGCCTGACGCCCGGGGCGGCACCGGGCCCAGGGATTTGGTGTTCCCGACGGCTCAGCCCGCTGCGTCCTCCGCCCCCCACCTTCACTCTCATCCCGAGAGCAGGGGCGGGGCCGCCAGCCACGAGGGCGTTCGGGTTCTTTAGTAGTCGCTTCTGGTTCTCCCGCGTGCGCATTTCTCAGCTCCCGGGCACAGCAGCCGGCTGCACCGAACCCGCGGGGCCGAGGCGCCCCCTGCTTGACTCTTAACTTTTGCCAGGATCGCGCCGGGTTGGGGGGGACCCGCGCGGTCCCCGCCCGCGCCCGCCCGCCGCGCTCGGAAAGCCCCCGCGGCTCCTCCTACCCTCGAGGGGCTTTCTCCAGCCTCCGGTGACTCGAGTCTTGGAGCGCGGCCGCCCGGCGCGCGTTTCCGCCGAGCTGGAGCGCGCAGAGCCCTCCTGCTTTTCTGGGGCTGCCGGGGACAAGGGGCGGTGACCTCGGTGCGCGCCCGGCCTCCCCGGCTCCCAGCCCGCTCTCCGGGCCCCCGGCCCGCGCCCCGGCCGCAGGCATGGTGCTGCTGGCCGGGCCCGGGCCGGAGGGCGGCGGGGCGCGCCGCGTGTCCCCAGAGCCACCGTCCCCACCCCGGGACGCGCAGGCCGGGGAGGACCCAGCTGACTATGAGGAGTACGAGGACTTCTCAAGTCTGCCCGACACCCGCAGCATCGCCTCGGACGACTCCTTCTACCCTTACGGAGACGAGGAGGAGTACAGCTCGGTGAGCGCGGAGAGCGCTCCGGAGGCCGTTCCGGAGGGCGTCCCGGAGGCGGCGACCCTCCTGCGCGCCGCCTGCGCCAACGACGTGGGGCTGCTGAGGGCGCTGGTGCGGCGGGGGCCCAGCGCCGAGGAGGTGCAGGAGACCGATCGCAACGGCCGGGTAAGAGCGCGCCGCGCGGGGTTCGGGGCCCCTCCGCCCTCCTCGGTCCCCGCCCGGCGGTGACTTTGCCTCGGCCGAGAGCGCCGTTTCCCGGCTCCAAGGGCGCGCGGCGTGCGCGGCGCCCTGGGCGGCTTGCCCATCCCGGGCCGGAGGGAGCAGCACGATTGCTCCGAGGTCACAGCGCCGCGGGGACCGTCGCCAGACCCGCGTGCTCACCGCAGCCCCTTCTAGTTTCCCGCCCGCGGAGTCTTCCGATGCTCCCCTGGGGCCCGCCCTGGGATCTGAGTTGGGGCGTCTCGCGGGTCGCATCACTCCGGGTCCACTCTGACGGTCAACCCTCCTAGCCTGCAGGGGAAATCCCTTCTGCAAAATGCCTCAGTCGCCCCCAGCGCCCCCAGGGTTCGGCCCTCTCGCTGCCCCTGAGCTTTCCTTCCACTCCCTAGCACGGATCGGCTTCCGCTCGCCTCCCGGGTTAGGAGTTGGCTCTGGGACCCCCTGCTTCCTCGCATCCCTCCCCCTGCCCACGCGCGGCCGCGCCCGGTGACCCACGCGGTGGCCGGCCGACGCGATCTCCGACTGGGCTATCCGCACGGTCACCGCGGAGAGCCGGGGGCCACCCCGCGCCCCCCTCCTCCGGGCAGGTCCCCGGCTGGGAGCACAGCCGCAGGGCAGGCGGGCGTGGGGGTGGGGAGAAGCACGAGGGATCCATGAGTCATGACAAGACTCAGGGACGATGAGAAACACCGAGAAAAAAAGAAAGAAAAAGTTGGCTGGAGAAGGACTGGCTCTCGGAACTCAGCCCACCGAAGTCGCGGGAGGAGACAAGCCGCAGTGTGAGCGCGGCGGCCAGGTGCCCGGGGGGGCCGGTGCCCAGCCGACAGTGACCGCGGTTTCCCTGGCTGTCACGGTCCCGGTCCCTGGGTCCCGCGGGATGGGCGGTCTCCGCCTGGCGTGCAGCCGGAGCGCAGGGCCTTTGCTGGGGGGCATCCCACACTGATGGGAAGGATGTGCGTCTCCTTGGAAACCGGGGGAGTCGGGTGCCTTTGGTTTATCCTGGGGCGGGTTCGGGCGCGCGCGGGTGTTCCTCCCCTGCCTGTGATCCGGGCCGGGCTCAGGCAGACTGGAGCCCCTGCAGGTATGGTCGAACTTGACACCGCAGTTGAACTTGGGGAAGGCTCTCCGCTTGGTGTAATGTGTCAGGTGGTGCTGGCCCCTGGATCCCGAAGGCTCCTGGAGCTGGAGAGGGCCCCGCGTGGGCAGCATCAGCCCGGTGACCCTGGGACACCCCGGGGATGCCTGCACCCCAGCCCTCCCTCTGGCCGCCAGGCGGCCCGGGCTGACTGTGCAGCTCTGCTCTCGCTTTTACCAAGGTGACTTTTCACAGATGTTCACGGCAGACCTCAGTTTCCTGAAGCAGGTAACTGGGGGCTGCCTTAAAGGAAGCCCCACAAGGGTCAGGAAGGGTCAGGAATGGGGTGGATTTCTCCCCTGTTCGGGGCAGCTTGGGGTCTCCTGGGGCCTGGGTTGCCCAGCCCCCACTCTGAGCTCCTTTAGGCTGAGCTTTGTTGTTTCCTTTGGGGGCAAAAGATAAAGGTTGGAAAGCAGCTGTACTGGAGACCACTGAGGACAACGTGAACCATCCCCAGGGGGCGCGGGTGTGTCGCGCTGAGTTTTGGGGCCTCTTGTGACAGCCTGGAGGGCTTCCCTGATAGCTCAGTTGGTAAAGAATCCGCCTGCAATGCAGGAGACCTGGGTTCGATCCCTAGATTGGGAGGATCCCTTGGAGAAGGGAAAGGCTACCCACTCCAGTATTCTGGCCTGGAGAATTCCACGGACTGTACAGTCCATTGGGTCACAAAGAGTCAGACACGACTCAGCAGCTTTCACTGTGAAAGCCTCTCCCTCAGTGCAGAGTCAGGGGTGGCCAGCTCTGGCCTCTCAGCGCCTCTCTGCCTCAGTTTCTCTGCTGTGATACGGGTTGGTCTGCAGCTTCAATCTGCTGGGCTACTGAGCACTGGATCCCTAGTGCACAGCGCTAGGCCGTGTTTACTGTCTTGTCCTGTTTTTTACTCACCTACCTTCTCCATGCTCTGAAGAGACATCCTCCAGGTTTTTTTTTTTTTTTTTCTTGAGGCCAGGCAAAACTATTTTTCTTTGTGCTTTCCCCCTTGATTACAGAGTTTCTCTTCATTTTTCTGCTCTGAGCCTCCTCTCTGCTCCACACCACATCAGGATGGAGAAATGGCCCACAGCCCATCAATGACAAAGGCCCACAGCCCATCAAGCCCTTTTATCTTCTGATCAGAAGGAGCGGGTCCTGTGTTCTGGGCTTTGAGGGTGTGAGGCGAGAGCTTCTGTTCTTCCCTGTGGCTTCTTGATCCTGTTATCAAACAGCCTCGGTCTTTCTGAAGCACTTTGAAAGAATGAAGTGTCACAAGGACCAACACATGACCCTGTAGCAGATGGGGTAGTGAGTCACTGATGAGCGTTCACTGCAGACCTACTGTGTGCAAGGCATGAGTGGGCGCTGCAGAGTCTCCTGAATCAAATGGTCTCTGCCTTGAGAGTCTTCACCTTTTAGTTGAGGAAGAACTCAGAGATGAGAGGAGCTCTATAGAAGTGCAGAGCAGATGTCTTGGAAGCCAGGAGCTGAGGACAATCAGGGAAGCCCAGTGAAGGGTGACTTTTGGAGGTGGTGGTGGGAGGACCTTCTAGGCAGGCAGATGGCACCAAGGCGGCGGTCTGTCACGGTGCGGGACAATGTGGTCACTGAAGCCGGAGGGGCTCCCTGGGGCTAGCTGCTGAGGGCCCAGTCCGAAGCAGCTGGCTAAGAAATGGGAAGCTGGGAAATCTGGTTTCAGCGTGCCCATGTCCGGCCTCGGGGCTGTGATGCCCCTCCGCACACGGCCACATGACTCAGCCACTCACTGCCTTCAGCTTCAGGGCGTCTCCTCAGGGAAGTCTTTCGTCCCATCCCCAGCCAGGTCAACAGCTCCTGGAGCCAGGGAGGACGGTCCGGGTGTTCAGAGATGGAGGGCTGCAGCGGTAGGTAGGGTGGTCATTCAAGGGAACAGGTGACGTTCTAGCAAAGACGTAGAGAAGAGGGCTTCCTTGGTGGCTCGGTGGTCAGGAATCCACCTGCCGACGCAGGGGACATGGGCGGATCCTGCCCGGGAAGATTCCATGTGTCCCGGGGCAGCGAAGCTCGTGTGCCGCAACGCTGAAGCCCGAGCACCCTAGAGCCTTGCTGTGTAACACCAGGAGCCGCCTCAGTGAGAAGCCTGCGCTGCAAGTAGGGAAAGCCTGGTCATAGCCACAACGACCCAGCACAGCCAAAAAAAACCCCGAGTCACAATATTTAAAACGAAAAGATGCAGAGAAGAAAACTCGGGAAGGGCACTTCAGGAAGAGGGCACGGCAAGTGCAAAGGCCCTGAGGCAGGAGCTCTTTGGGTGCTGTCTGTGATTAGTAGCAGTAAAAAGCTTATGGAAAGCCTGAGCGTTTTTGCTGGAGGAGAAGGGTAATTGCCTTAACTAGTAGACCACTTGGCCTTCCTGGTGAGTCAGTGGTAAAGAATCCACCTGCTGATGCAGGAGCTGCTGGTTCCATCCCTGGACTGGGAAGATCCCCTGGAGAAGGAAGTGACTACCCACTCCAGCATTCTTGCCTGGGAAATCCCCCAGACAGAGGAGCCTGGCAGGCTACAGTCCATGGGGTTGCAAAGAGTCTGGATACGACTGAGTGGCTAGACAACAACTGAACTGCTCACAGGCTGCAGATAGCAGCTTCCCGGAAGAAAAATGTCTCTAAAGGCTTTTTAGGGGTTGCGTTTATTGAGCTGTCAGCCTCTGGTCCGTCAAGAAGAGAGTCTGCCGAGCTGAGAGAGGTTTCATTTTGCTGGAGTTAACCAAGGATCAGGCTTGTTTTGTTGAAGAAGATGTGTTGTGGGGACCTCTCTGGAGGTCCAGTGGTTAAGAGTCCAGGTTTCCAGTGCGAGGGGTGAGGCTTCGATCCCTGATCAGAGAACTAGACCCCCCGTGCTGCGCTGCATGGCCAAGAAAAATAAAAAGATCTGTCATTTCCTGGCTCCTGAGATCCCTAGAATTTTGGACAAGGCTCAGCAGAGTCTCCTTCTAAAATATTTATTGTTCTAAAAGGATTGCATAATTGAATATGCAACATGTAAATATTTGTCAAACAATCCTTCAGAAGTATTCAGAGTGTGCTCTTCTGTCTTGTAGATTTATGCTTGTTTTGTTCCCGTTGACTCGGGGACAATTCTCCTTCTTAATTCTTCACTTCTCTCCCGAGGTAAGCTCCTGACAGCTCTACAGAGAGGACTGAAACCAAAGGAAGCGTTTGTGCTGTGTTCACTGTTACAGAACGGCGGTTTGAATGTCAGACAACTCTTGAACCACATTAGGCCCAATTTTGCAACCTTGAAAATATTGTACTCCTTTCTTTTTTTTTTTTTTTAAATAAACTTATTCTGGTCATGCCATGTGGCTTATCAGAACTTAGTTCTGTGGCCAGAGATTAAACCTGGGTCCTCGGCAGTGAAAGCAGAAGCCCTAACCACTGGACCACCAGAGAAGTCCCCCTCCTCTCTTGATGGGATTCTTCTCTTACATGTTTAAGTTCCAGGGCCTCTTGCTGAAATGTTTCAAAGACCCCTCCACCCATTTGCTCGATTGGCTCAGGAATGGCTGCAGTCACCATCTGCAGTGATTTTTGGAGCCCAAGAAAATAAAGTCTCTAACTGTTTCCATTGTTTCCCCATCTATTTGCCATGAAGTGATAGGACCAGATGCCATGATCTTAGTTTTTTTAATGTTGAGTTTTAAGCCAGCTTTTTCACTTTCCTCTTCCATCTTAATCAAGAGGCTCTTTAGTTCCTCTTCACTTTCTGCCATAAGAGCAGTGTCTTCTGCATATCTGAGGTTATTGATATTTCTCCCAGCAATCTTGATTCCAGCTTGTGCTTCCTCCAGCCTGGCATT